ACAGAATTGAAAGCAGTAAAGAGGAAGTGGGGCACAGCTGGGAAAGGCCTTCTAGAAAAGATAGCCCCAGAGTAGCGTTAGAGAGTAGAACTGGCATCCTACAGAGGACAGGGATGCAAGCATGCAACAGCAGGTCAGTTGGTTGGAACTACTGCTGGGGAAGAATTGTGCTGGGTGAGGAGCTGCCAGAAAGTTGATCAAGGGTCAAATTGTGGAGGGCCTTGCTTGCTAAATCCAAGAATTGTGTTCTAGTGGCAGACTAATCTCTGTTTCTTACACAGACCCTGATGGAATGTCTTGAGGCTGAAGAAGGACATTCAGTATTCCAGAGAATCCTGGCTAAAGTGAGAGATGAGAGCATGGATATTCAGACTGTTGTGTCCCTGTTGAGCCTGTGCCAAGACTCTAATCCTGCAGTAAAAACAGCACTATTAGGCAGAAAGCCAGAAGATGTAGAATCAGTGCAGCCAAAAGGTGGGAGAAAACTCCAATCACCTGGATGACAAGAGTTCTGTTCTGAGAGGATGCTGTAAAGTTTATCAAGTGGTACATTTCTTTGGTGGCTTAGTTAGCTAGTTTTTTAGTTCTATATGTAATTCCAAAAGCTGCATGTGAAATACATACAAACTAAATTTGAGTCTCTATCCCTGTCCCCTAGTCAACTAGACTGACACCTTGAAGTTAGAGAATACTAGCCTTGTTCTTCTGCCCTTCAAAAAAGCCACACATCCAAATCAATGACTGAGTGCCCAGGGTGAAGTGGTTCGCTGACAGTACTTAAAGGCTGAAGTTTCTCTCATTTGGGTTAGGTACAAAGCAGTGGCCTTGCCAACCAGAAGTTAACCTCTGGCTGGCTCTGCAGCTTTGTGTTTCGACAGATAAATGAAACATTTTTCCTTTCATAGAGTTTAAACAGAATAATAAAGTATTTTCCTCTGCTAAGAGAGAGTCTGCATTTGGGTGCTCAGAATAAGCCAAGAATCACTTTACTATTCTGTTAGATCTCTCTTGACAAACCATGCTGTCATTTTCTTCAAATTGACTAGCTTCCCTTATGTGTCTCTAACTCTTTCTCCCCAGGGAGCACGGAGGAGGGAAAGACCTTGTCTGTTCTCTTACTAGAACACAAAGAGGACCTGATACAGTATGTAACACAGCTGAGACCTATTGTGGAGTTCCTGGAAACAGCCTCGGAAGAATTCCTGACTGGTGCTGAGAAGAGGGTAACTGATACTCTATCTCTTCCCCCTTCCGAATTCATATAGCACTTTAAAAAAAAAAAAACTCTTTTAGGGCACATACCACTTTTTACCTTGCAGTATGTTTGTCTGTACTGCATAGTAAGCACCTCCAAGTTAGGATTCTTGTTCATGCCTCTTAAGATCCCTTGCTGCAGCTTACTGAGGGCCTTGCACACCAGCTATACAGTACATATTTGGAAAGATGGATGGATGGATGGATGGATGGATGTGATATTCCTGCCCTGACTCAATGAGTTTTTATTGCAAGACAGCTGCACCAAGAGTTAAACTGTTAAAGTACATTTGTAATTATTATGACACTTTCCCTCTTCATAAAAATGGTATACTGTTCATCTATAGAAAATTTGAAAAGTAAGTAAAAAACAAAAAAAACTCACAATTTCAGCACTCAGAGGTGACCACTGCTAACATGTGGCACACCTGCCTCCACCCTTTCTCATTCAAGTCCTGCTAGGATGGAGTTCTCCAGAACATACAGTTATGTAACTTAATTTTGTATTTACTGTATTATGACTATATTTTCCTACCCATAATATGGATTTTTAGTTACATTATAATCTGTTTAATGCATGTACCATAATTCCTTAATTCTTTATTATTGGGCATTTGTTTCCAAATTTTTGCTATTACAAATCACATTGTAGAGAACATCTTTGTACACAAATCTTTGTGTTCTTTTCAAATTATTTCTTTAGAATAATTTCTAAAAGTAGAATTTTGCAACAGAGAGTATAAAAATTTCCCAGTGTTTGGAACATATTGCCATTAAATTGCCCTTCAGGAAGGTTGTACCAATTTACTCTCCCACCAGCTAGCTACTAAAGTCCCTGAAAGCTGCTGGCATGACTTCTCAAGGCAACTGGATAACTGTATTTGTTGGTGTTATTGATTTCAACTTTGTGCTAAAAATATTTTTATATCTGGAAGGAAGGGATAGAGGTAGAGAACTTTTGTGGCATCAATTCTTTAAACTGTAGGAAGTGGCTTAAATGTTCAGGAGAGAAAATGTTGAGAAACCACTGGTATAATGGCTAAGCACTGGCTTGATAGTGAGGACTGAGTCCTTGATTTTATTTTTCTTGGTGATACTATATTGCTATTTTTTTCCGTATAAAATGGGAACATCTTTAATTTCAAAATGGTATTTTGCAAGTTAATTATGTTTTTAAAATTTTAAGGACTTTGAACTTCTTAGAGAAAGAAAATATCAGAATAAGAGTAAACCTCTATTTTCTCCTTTGCCTTCAAATTAAATGTAATTTCAGACACTCAAGTAATTTCAGACACTCAATTTAAGTTGCTTATAGCTCTAGACGTACCTGATACCCTGTTTAGCGATTACATTCGATTACTCATTGAAACCTTTTCCTTATTAACTAGATTGAATGTGTCCTTTGAACTGTTTCATTATCTTGGTAAAACAGCATTTATAGGTAGAGCCCAAACTCATTCTCTGTAGCAAGACAGACCACACTGTCATTTTCTTCTGTCACTTTCAGTTTACTTGACAGAAAGGGCTGAAGCAGAAAAACTCAAATTAGTTATAAATCACAAAAACACTTCTTCGATTAAGATTCCACCAGAGGTTCATTAAACTACTCCTTTTCACTAAAATTGAAGCAAAATAATAAAGTGGACGTATAGAGGTGAATGTTGATTGGGTCGTCACGGTGTTGACATCATGTGGAGCATGCACTCAGGCCTGTTAGAACTTTTTTCTGTTATGAAATGATGCTAATCATGGCTCCATGACCCTTATCTATAAATACTTGGATTCTGTAAGAAGTGGTAACTAGGAATGTCTTTAAGATTGGAAACAGATACAAAAATAATAATTATAGCTACCATTTTTTCATCACTTACTTATGTGCCGAGCAGTGTGCTGAGGATCTTTTAACATTGCTAAATTTAATCCTCACAGCAACTTTATGAATAATACCCTGATTTTTTAAAAATGAAGAAATAGAAGCTTGAAGAGTCCCACACTGGCTTAGAGGTGGGACCAGTACTAGGACCCAGGCTTGTAATCAAAGCACATTCTCTTTACCACTATGCATACTGCCTCCCAGTAATATCACTAACTGTTGTCAGTTATTTCATAATCCCATATGTCCTAGGAGGTGGGCTAGGTTCCACAGACTGCAACCTCATTTTACAGAATCCCGTATGGAACTATGCAAGAATTGGTATTTGTTCTCTTCTTTGGCAGGTGAAGAAACTAAGGTTTAAACATTAAACAACTTGTCCAAGATCACACAGGCAGTAATTTTGGAACAGGGTTCAAATTAGGTCTGTCTGGGTCTAAAGTATCTGGTGACTACTCTTAACAATACTGGCTGCCTCATTACATATCAGGTTATTGCTTAAGAACTCCAGATTTAGCACTGAAATCAGTATGGTTTTTTAGATATAAGCTCTTAAATTTTAAATTGTGATTCATCTAGTAGCAGTCTAGTGTATATTAGACCTTAAATGGAGTGACTGTGTTCTGAACTGACAAGGAATATGTCAACTTGATTTATTTTATACACACATACATGTGTGTGTGTGTGTATATATATATACATATATATAACTATTCCTTTCATAGATAAAAAACCAATTTGATTTTAAAGTTAAATTGGTTATTTTAAAATGGGAGTTAATTTGGTGATGGCGGTCTCTGGCATGCTCCCATGACTGATCTGCTCCACTGCTGCTCCTGAGAGCTGGCATCTTCTGAAAGGGAAGCCGGAAATTTAGTTACTGTGAGTCTGTAGAGTACGTGTATTGAGGTAATACCCTGTTTTATCAGTTCCGTGAGAGCCAAGTTACGCATATTGAGTTGGAATGTGTTAAGAACTACTTCTATTATAATAGAAATGTATTTGTAAAATGTCTCTCATGCATTTTATTTTTTAACCTTTGGCTGGAGCCCTGAATGCTTTTGATTCAGAAAATGCTCTAGCACACTAAGGAAGAAGAGGGGAGTCAAATTGTTGAATGATGATTGGAACTGATTTATATGGCCGTTGAGCAGAAAAGGGCTACACAATAAAGAATCCACAGCAAAAATAATCCAGAAATATGCTTAAATGTATTGTTTTGGAGGCCACAGACTACTGTATAATTATCTAGGTATTCAAATTGCTACACGTAGAATAAAAAGTAAAATAACGGACTGCTCTGAAATTACCACCTGCACCAGTGTCATGCCCTTTCGTGAACAGAGATTTAAAAATACTATAACTGTATTCATTAATTCCCACTCTGTGTTTCTCAGTCTTAGAGTCTGAGCTAGATCTAAGGAACCACATTAGATGTAAGCTACTCACTGCATCATATAGGCTTAGTATAAAAATATTTTCACAAAATGCAAGCGGTTGGAAGCAAAAAATATATATATATACACAGATCTGTGATTAAGGAAGAAAGGCCTCCATAGGGTTATTTGTTTGGAGAATGTGTGGGATTTTTATGAAGACAGTATGAGGAAGAATCTGGGGAAGAAATAATATTAGAGACCAACAGAAGAAAACTTGGTGCCAGCGCATCTTGTAATCCCATCGTGCTGGGTTTTCCAGTGGTGTGTCAGATAAGTTTAGAATCTCCAGTAACTGTGTCTGGTTGATTGCTTGCCACTGCAGGTGATTCTGAATTGCTGTGAGGGTGGAATACCCAAGGAGACAATAGAAGATTTATTGTACAGAGTCACTAAAGAGAAGACCCTGACTGCTGAGAGTTTGGTAAAACTCCTTCAGGCTGTGAAGATGACATTCCCAAACTTGGACCTTCTGTTGGAGAAGATGCAGAAATTAGCAGCTTTGCCAAGCACCCCAGGTATTCATTAATTGTTGACTCTCTGGACTGGAACCACTCCTAATAGAAAATTATTACCTAAAACACCCTTTTGGATCTATGCTGAGGAAATAAGATAGTATTAACAAATGTCATTGCAAAACAGAAACTTGTTGAGTGCCAGTGAGTTGGTTCTGACTCTTAGCAGCCCTGTGTACAACAGAATGAAACACTGCCCAGTCCTGTTGCCATCCTCAAAATTGTTGCTGTGTTTGAGCCCATTGCTGCAGCCAGTCGGGCAGTCTCATTGAGGGTCTTCCTCTTTTTCTTCCACCCTCTACTTTACCAAGCATGATGTGTTTCTCCAGAGACTAGTCCCTCCTGATAACAACATGTTCAAATTACATAAGATGAAGTCTTGCCATCCTCACTTCTAAGGAGCATTCTGGCTGTCCTTATTGCAAGAGGGATTTGTTCTTTCTTCTGACACTCTGTGGTATATTTAATATTCTTGGCCAACACCATAATTCAAAGGCATCAATTCTTCAGTCTGCCTTAGTCTTCAAAGTGACATCTTTGTTTTTTTTAACACTTTAAAGAGGTCTTTTGCAGCCGATTTTCCCAGTGCAATACATCATTTGATTTCTTGACTGCTGCTTCCATGGGCATAGATTGTAGATTCTAGTAAAACAGTCCTTGGCAGCTTCAGCATTTTCTCTGTTTATCATGATGTTGCTTATTGATCCAGTTGTGAGGATTTTTGTTTTCTTTATGTTGAGATGTAATCCATACTGAAGGGCTGAAGTCTTTGATCTTCATCAGTAAGTGCTTCAAGTCCTCTTTGCTTTCAGCAAGGTAGTGTCATCTGCACATCACAGGTTATTAATGAATCTTCCTCCAGTCCTGAAGTCATGTTCTTTTTCATATTGTCCAGCTTCTTGGATTATTTGCTCAGTATACAGATTGAATAAGTATGGTGAGAGGACAACCCTAATGCACACCTTTCCAAATTTTAAACCAAGTAATATCCCCATGTTCTGTTTGAATGACTACTTCTTAGTATAAGTACAGGTTCCACGTGAGCACAATTAAGTGTTCTGGAACTTCCATTCTTTGCAGTGTTACCCATAATTTGTTATGATTTACACAGTTGAATGGTTTGCATAGTCAATAAAATACAAGTAGACATCTTTCTAGTATTCTCTGCTTTCAACCAAGATCCATCGGACATCAGCAGTGATACCATTTGTTCCATGTCCTCTTCTGAATCTAGCTTGAATTTCTAATGGTTCCCTACTGATGTGCTACTATAACCATTTTTGAATTGTCTTCAGCAAATTTTACTTGCATGTAATATTAATGATCAGTAATTTCCACATTCCGTTGATCACATTTCTTCAGAATGGGCACAGATATGAATCTCTTCCAGTAGTTGGACAGGTAGCTCTCTTCCAGGTTTCTTGGCATAAACATATGAGTGCTTCTGGTGTCGCATCCATTTGTTGCAACATCGCCATTGGTGCTCCATCAGCTCCTGGGGCTTGGTTTTTTGCCAGTGCCTTCAGTGCAGCTTGAACTTCTCCCTTCAGTGCCATCAGTTTTTGCTCATAAGCTGCTTCCCGAAATGGTTGCACAGCGACCAGGTCTTTTTGGTACAGTGCTCTGTGTAAAAACTTCCCTGCTCTTTTGATGCTTCCTGCGTCATTTGATCTTTTGCCCACAGAGTCCTTCAGTATTACAACTTGAGTCTTGAATTTTTCCTCCAGTTCTTTCAACTTGAAACCTGCCAAGCGTGTTCTTCTCTTTTGGTTTTCTAACTCCAAGAGTTTGCACATTTCTTTATAATACTTTACATTATCTTCTTCAGCCACCCTTTGAAATCTGTTCAGCTGTTTAACACATCATTTCTTCCATTCGCTCTAGCTATTCTCCATTCAAGAGCAAATTTCAGAGTCTCTTCTGATATCTGTTTTGGCCTTTTCTTTCTTTCCTGTCTTTTTAATGACCTTTTGCTTTCATTATGTACAGTGTCTTTGATGTCATCCCACAACTTAACCTGGTCTTCGGTCTTCAATGCATGAGATCTGTTCTTCAGATGGTCTTCCATGTAGGTGTATGGATATTATTCTATCACTGATACCACAGTATGACAAACTGACAGACTAATGGTAGGATCAGAAACTGCCTGTCACAGATCAATGATTATCAATATTTCTGGAGTTAAGATCTTAAATCTGAGACTTGCTCTTCTCTGTTAAGCTGGCTCCCTCACAATGCCCTTATGGTCTGGAGTTTGTTAATGCATGGCTTTCCCTGGTCTGTCAGGTGTCATCTGTGAATACCTAAAGAGGAAAAGGGCTCAGGATACACCCACAAAGCTTATAGTTGTGACAGTTATGTTGACAAATATGAGCCGCCAAGACCCAAACGTCAGTCTCCCCATTCCCTTCTGAGTGCTTAATTGATTCATTGCACAGAATTAACTATGTTTCTTGTCCATTCAGCTTGAAGAAATGAGTCCATATCCCAGTCCTTAGAAAGACAATCCAACTAACAGTTCTCCTGTATCCCAGAGCATTTGGCACTAGAATAGTTTTCAGAAAAAGGATATTTAAGAAATGTGAGAACTTTTTTCTAGCTTATAAAAGTAATACATCCTTATGTAAACTTGGTGACTACTCTTGTATAATAAAGAAAAGAAAAGCAACCAAAAATCCCACCACTCAAGTATATCAATATTAATACTTTGCCATATTTAATCTGTCACATTTTTACAATATTGACATATTACTATATTTCATAATTTCTCCCATTTAACTTTAAAAAAACCACCGCCATCCAGTTGATTCCAACTTGTAGCGACCCCCATTGGGTTTCTGTGGCAGTAGATCTTTATGGAAGTAGATTGGTCTGTCTTCCTTCTGCAGAGTAGCTGGTGAGTTTGAACTACCAACCTTCTTATTAGCAGTCAAATGCCTAACAGTATCATATAAACATTCTCTCTCACATTTTAAAAAACTCTCCATAACCCTATTTGTTGATAGCTATGTGTTTTTCCCTTATAAGGATGTATAAAACCAAAAAACAAACCCACTGCCATTGAGTTAATTCTGACTCATAGCGACCCCCACTGGGTTTCTGAGGCAGTAAATCTTTACAGAAGTTAAGTTGCCCCATCTTCCTTCTGCAGAGCGCTGGTGGGTATGAACCACCAACCTTCTGGTTAGCAGTCAAATGTCTTAGTCACTGTACCACCAGAGCTCCTTCATAAGGTTGTATATGGCCTATTAATTATTCCCTAATTTGGGAGCAGAAGGCTTTAGTGGCAACACTGTCAGGGTTTGCATCCTGACCCCATAATTTACCTGTGTGACTCTGAACAAGTGACTTAACTTTCTGAAGCTCATTTTCTCCTCTGTGAAATGAGGATGATAATGTTTTACTTACAGCATTTGTTTTTGTGTGGCTACCGTGAGATAATACTTGTAAAACTTTTATCACAGTGTCTGACACATAATAGGTACTCAGTCCATATTAGTTGTGATCATCATCATCACAAATTATGCAGTAACAAATATCTTTGTCATAGATTTTTGCCTTCAGATAATTACTTAAGAATAGACTCCCAGAAGTACAGTTACTAGGCCAAAGAGGAGAATAAATTTTTAAATATCTGCAAAGCTAAGGGAAATGCCTATTAGTTTTGATTTTTTTTTTTTTTTTCTTTCCTTTCAAGTAAATATGACCCCTTAAAAGAGAGAAGTTAACAGATTGGCTCAGAGGCCATATAAACAGAAGAACCATGGGTCAGCTTCATGGCCACAGTCTTGATACATGCTTGCTTGTATTTGGGACCTCCACACGATCCTTCACCTCAGGCTTGATGAATACCCTCCTGGAATTTGTATATCTGAATCTCTTAGCAGTGCAGCCTTCTAATTAGCCCCCTGTTGAGCAATCACTGGCTTCTACCACCAGCACTAACTTTCAAAGTGTTAGTGGTCTGTGGTCCTGAAGCACCAAGTGATTAAGCACAGACCGAAGGGAATCGGGCAAGATCAAAACACGTGTAAGAGGCTCCAGGCTGGGGGTTGGACTCAGTTCTCCAGAGGGGACAGAACCTTGTGCTGATATCTCTTCTGTCGTTTGTTAACACCCTATAGTCTTCTGTAGAAGAAGACTTTGAGGAGATTTTGTTTCATCAAACATTATTGTTTTGCTGATATCTTTACAGTCCAACCAAGCACTTACGATTGTGGTACTGAGCTACTGAGACGCTATCATGAAAACCTCTCTGAGGTTTTCACAGACAACCAGATGTTACTACAGGTGATCTCACATGCGAAGAGCTTAGCCCCGAGAGAAAGAGAGGTAAGACAAGGAAAGAGAGAGGGAGAGAGGGTAAAATGAAAGAGAGGGAAAACATGTAAATATATGTAATGCATTTTTTCTATTTATAGTTTACATAAATATACATCAACAGCCATGTTGAGAAATGCTCCTAGTATTTCTAGTGTCAATAGAGAAGGAGAAATGGAAGGTGACTCAATTTCTAAGGCAGAGTAACACATGGGATAGTTGCAGTTTCTGTAGTAAGAATAAAATTAGTTCAGGAGAAGGAATGGGGACCATTGTCCTTGTCGTGTGTAAGAAACTGCTCAAATTGGAAGAGGCCTTGAGAGAGGGTGAAGAGTATTGAAGAATTCCTCCCCAGAAACACATTCACTGTAACCCAGTACCCAGACTTGCTGCTCTGTGATAGGCTAGTGGCTAGACAGTCCCTGACATGCACGTTTGTGTTTCATCTTGAAGGTCATGGAGAAGGTTGTGAAAAGTGACCCTGGCTCAGGAGGTTTTAGTTCTCTGATCTCAGCAGTTCTGGAAAAGCAGACTCTCTCTGCGACAGCCATTTGGCACCTACTGCTCGTGGCTCAGGAGACAAAGACCTGCCCAGTGGACTTGCTTATGGAGGAAATACAGAGAGAGCCTGGTGCAGATGCTTTCTTCCGGGCAGGTGAGTTACCCAGCCTCTGCCATGGCTAAGCCCCTGCTAGAGATTATTGTCAGTCTTCCTGGAAAATGAAGAGAGCTCTCTTATGGTGGTGGTGGTTAGGTGCTGTCAAGTCCATTCTGACTCGTGGAGACCCTCTGTGCAACAGAATGAAACATTGCCCAGTCCTGAGCCATCCTCATTGCTGTGTTTGAGCCCGTCATTGCAGCCACTGTGTCAGTCTGTCTCACTGAGGTGCTTTCCTCAGTGAACGTACCATGGCTTGAGTCAGGTGCACCTTAGTCCTCAAGGTGCTATCTTATCTTCATGTTTTAACACTTTAAAGAGGTCTTTTGCAGCAGATTTTCCTGATGCAGTATGTCGTTTGATTTCTTGCCTACTGCTTCCATGCATGTTGATTGTGGATCCAAGAAAAATGAAATCATTGACAACGTCAGCCTTTTGTCCATTTAGCATGATGTTGCTTGTTGGTCCAGTTGTGAGGATTTTTGTTTTCTTTATGTTGAGATATAATCCACACTGAAGGCTGTAGTCTTTGATCTTCATCAGTAAGTGCTTTAAGTCATCCTCACTTTCAGCAAGCAAGGTTGTGTCATCTGCATATTGAAGATTGTTAATGACTCTTCCTCCAATCCTGATAATCACATTCTTCTTCATATAGTCCAGCTTCTCAGCTTATTTGCTCAGCATACAGATTGAATAAATATGATGAAAGGATACAGCCCTGATGCACACATCTCCTGAGTTTAAACCATGAACTATCCCTCTTGGTTTATGTGTAGGTTCCTCCTGAGTACAATTAAGTGTTCTCTTACTGTAGTCCTCCATAGCCCTGCCATCAGAGGAGCAAAGTAAGGACTGACAGTTTTATTCAAGGACACAGGAATTGGTAAACCTTTAAAAAGAAACATATATACAGTACTTATTGTAAACTTAAATGATTTACACTCTCATTTAGTGCAGTTTGCCATTTTCTGCGCTCCAACTCCAAATAGGAGGTGAGTGAAGTATGTTCTCATTATGAAGAGTTGAATTGAGAGAAAGAAGGAAAAAATGGTGCTCATGGTTTTATTAACAAATCTTCCATCCCCCTTTTTTTCAGTGACTACACCAGAAAGTGCTGCCTTAGAAACAATCCTGAAGCATAAGAGATTGGTCATAGAGGTCATTCAGCAAAAGATTGACCTGAAGCACTTTACCTCAGAGGAAGAGCACCTGGCAGAGACTGTGAAAGAGGTGTGGTGGGAACAAAATCAAGTTGTGTTTCAGAGAGTTTTAGGTGTTGTCTGAGGCTGTCTTCATTCCTAAGGGAGAAATCAACATCTGTGGAGTGCCTGGTTCGTGCCTGGCCCTGTACTAGGCCAGGCACTCTGTAACTCTTCCGCTTTTTTAATCCTCACAGCTCTAAGGGGTGGGTGATCCACCTGTATTTTACAGATAAAGAAGCTCAGGCACCAAGGGATTAAGTACCATGTCCAGGCTGCTCCACCGGTAAAAAGGTCGTACCAGAATTTGAGCCCAGGTCATATGACTCAAACCTAGAATTACTCTGTTTGTCTAAAGCTAGGTAAATCTCCAGGGGAACCATGATGCTGCTCTCTAACATGTTCTAAGAAGCAACTTCTTTCAGATGAAGAAAAGTAAAATTGGTCTTACTACATGCTGTATTCTGGCTCCTAGAAAGAGCCAAGATAAACATAGATAGAACAAAGTGTTTGCCCATATGGGGTAGCAAATAGTGCCAAGTCATTTTCTGTAAGGCTTCCTAAAATATGGCTGGCATCCCAGAAAAACCAGGTGGGGCTAGAGGGGGTGGGGTGGTGGTGGTGGGAATTCATGGATGTCCAACTCAGGATCATGTGCATCTTGAGTGGGAGAGAATTACGAAGGAACATAAGATTAAACCACAAAGTCATCTGGCGTGCCTTTTGATCCAAGTAGGCATGAAAGATGTGCAAAGGGCTAGACCCTAACTGTCCACACAGCTGCCAGCCTCACCTTGGTATGCCTCTCAGGTGGGAAGAAGATGGCACATGTTTCTGTGGGGCTTCAGAGGAGAGAGTCATCTGCTAGACTCTCTCTGGCATGCCACATACTTCAGAGATGGGGTTTCTGCAGTTGATCAGTTCTCGCCTGGCTAATTAGTCTCATGCCTGCCTCCAGGGACATCAGGATTATTTAGATAGACTTGAAAAGAGCAGAAATAAAATACCTTCCAAAATGAAAATTCCATTTGGCCATCTGTGAATGGTTTAGCTTTATTTTCTCAGCGTACTGACTCTTTCTGCTGATAGCTCTAACATTCTGAAAGAGGACAGCTTTGAAATAATATTCTTGGTCTCTTTAAAGCCCCTATTTGAGCCTTCTTAAAAAGCTTTATGAAAGAAAATGATGTTTAAAAGGGTACATCTAAGTATCTAAAAATATGAAGCCACTGATCATGCAGAATGACTTCCAGACATTGAGACAATGATGTATTATGAAAAATTATCTGGATCTTCAGGGCAGAGACACCAACAACCCAATGCTAAAGCTTTCCACATTTGTCCCATCATGATCTAGCAAAGTTCTTTGGGAGATTCGTGGTTTCTGAGAAGGTACTTCTCATAGAAAACACTCGACGCTCTCTTGCTTGCCCCTTCTTTGTGTTTGTATTTTCTTCCTTGTATCATCCCTTTGTTGCCTTGACATATGTCTCCTTTGTTAATTGGCCATCTCTTTGGAAAACAGGGATCTCTGCTACATTTATCAGGAGAAGGGTAAATTCCTTGTAGATGAGCAATGCCTTCCTAAAATTAGTTGTATATATATATATTTTTAAGTTGATCACCATGGAGAAACTCTGCTGATACTAACCCCAAGCTTTTGTCTCCTGGTGTCATTTAGATTCTGAGCATTTCCTCTGAGACAGCCAGCCCTGAAGCTTCCCTGAGAGCAGTGCAGAGCAGAACCATGGAAAAATCAGTCTCAGCCATTGAAATCTGTCACCTCCTGTGCAGCATCCACAGATCGTTTCCAGGCCTACAGCCTGTTATGCAGGAGCTAGGATACATTGGTAAGAAACAAGTTGGGTGAGGGGCTCTGCCAGGCACCCAGGTTGTTTCCTTATCAGAGAGAGAAAAGCGCAACAGTTCGTGTAAGCGTTCATTGTTACTTTAAAATATTTATTCATTTTATATGCTCTCAGTACCTAGAGATGTCATGAGTATAGATATAAAATGGTGCTTTTTGTGTTTATGAGAAAGTAAGGATGATGATAATGATATTACATTAGCAAGTTTTAGGAACCGAAGTGGTCTGCAGACTTCTCTAAGAAGTTGGGTGCCTTAGAAAAGTTCTTTTGTAAAGCAGAAACACAGAGTTTCCAGAGCCATGAACTTTCTCACGTGTGCAGGTTTCCTTACTAAGGAAGATGGGCAAAAGGAAATGTGGAAGGTAAGTAATACATTTCACCTGGAAGCTAATGACAAAGCAGATGAAAAGCCAGCCGAGCTAGCTGAAGAAGATTGCCAGTCTGGGAAACTGAATGATGGAGGAGAGACGGGTTCTTTACCCGAGCAAGAGGACATGTCTGCCTCCCCAGACTCTGCCAAGAAGAACTTCATCTGTAAGGCCTGTGACAAAAGCTTCCACTTCTACTGCCGCCTAAAAGTGCACATGAAGCGCTGCCGTGTGGCCAAAAGCAAACAGGTGCAGTGTAAGGAGTGCAGCGAGACCAAAGATTCTCGGAGAGAGCTGGAGAAACATCAGCTGGAAGCCCACGGTGCAGGTGGTGAGGCCGAGGTCCCCAAGAAGAAGAAGAAGAGGCTTCCAGTGATGTGTGACCTCTGTGGCAGAGAATTTGCTCATGCCTCAGGTATGTTTCAAGAAAGCTAAGTAGCAGAGGGTGATGATCCTGGACACTGGAGTTTGGGTTCCAGGCTTTTCCCCTCGTTGTGTGTAATTGCTGGGGATGTGGGTGGACTCCGAAGATGCACTTGGTTCCTACCAAGGCAGAGAAATACTTTGGAAAGAATACGGGATTTGGAGTCAGCCTCTGAGTTTTATAGTTAAACCCCTAGTACAGTGCCTGGCATAGAGTTAGGACTCAGTAAATTGCAGCTGCTATGATTCATAATAACCAGCTATTTAACATTTGACTCTTGGGTTTTGTGTACCATTTGTTTCTTGGTAATAAATGAGAGACACTGGAAACTCTGAGGTGTTGAGTCAGGTATTATTTTCCCTTTGCCCCAGATGTTGGATAATAAGCCTAACAAAACATGAGCATGAGTTTTGTTTCCCTATTTCTGAGTGGCTGTATCTCATTTAAGAGAGAGTGGGGACAGTGAAGTTAAACCCAGAATCACTTCATGCCTGGTCTAACTGGGAGTGGGACTGCGGTGACTTGGGGATGCTAGTTGCTGGCCAGTTGAGCAGCGTGGCTGGGCAGTGTCAGAGCTAGCCTGGCCTGCGTCCTGTGCTGCATGCTTTCTTCCTCTGGAGCCCTCACCTGAAACAGTGCTGTTACATAGATTCGTGCTGGTTTGTAACATTAATTACGAGTATGTCTTCTGGTCCCTGGCACGGCTTCTGTAGGCATGCAGTACCACAAACTGACAGAGCACTTTGATGAGAAGCCTTTCTCCTGTGAAGAATGTGGGGCAAAGTTTGCAGCCAATTCTACCCTGAAGAACCACCTTCGCCTTCACACTGGGGACCGCCCATTCATGTGCAAGCACTGCCTCATGACCTTCACCCAGGCCTCCGCCTTGGCCTACCACACCAAGAAGAAGCACTCAGAGGGTAAGGCACGGAGAACTTCTTTTATTCTACTGCGACTTGAATTACATAAGCTACCTAAAAACTCATTTGGAATTTCATGTGATACGTATCTCAAGGAGCCCTGGTGGTACAATGTTTAAGCACTTGGCTGCTAACTGAAAGGTTGGTGGTTCAGATCCACCCAGTGGCTCCATGAGAGAAAGACCAGCAGAGGATCTGATTCATATTTTAAAAGATAATTCTGGCCACTTTGTGGACAATAAACTATAATAGGGCCCATCCCACTCATTGCTATCAAGTCAGTTCCAACTCATAGTGACCGTTTAGGACACGGTAGAACTGCCCCATAGCGTTTCCGAGGCCATAAATCTTTTCAGAAGCAGGCTGCCTCATCTTTCTCCCATGGAGCAGCTTGTGGGTTCAAACTGCTGACCTTTTAGTTAGCAGCCAAATGCTTTAACCACTCTGCCACCAGAGCTCCTATAATAGGGCAGAGTATTGTATAAACAGGGAAAACAGTTAGGACATTTTTGCAGTAGTCCAATCTAGAGATGATGGAGTTTTTGACTAGAGTTGTATTAGCAAGGGTTGTGAAACTAGTTGAGTTTAGAGATTTTTAAGAAGTCACCTCTAATCCCCAGACATAGATAGCTAGGCAATATGTACTCATATTGGGGATGTATTTTTTAAAGTGGAGCTGACAAGGCTAGTGATGGGTTAGATGTAGGATGTGAGGGAAAGAGATGAATTAAGGATGGGTTTGGAGTTCTTGGCCTGAACAACTGAGTGAATGATGTTGCCATTTACTTAAATGGAGGGAATTGGGTGTGTGTGTGTGTGTGTGTGTGTGGTGGGGGGCATGGGGGTAGAGAATCAGGAGGTCTGTTTTGGGTATGATAAATTTGTGATACCTTGTGGACCTCCAAGTGGAGAGAGAGAGTAATAGAAACTTGGATATATAAATCTAGAGCATTCTGGGGAAATAGGGGACAGATATGAATGTGGGTGCTGTCTGGGGACAGATGGTATATGAGGCTCTGAGATAAGATCATCTAGAAAGCAGGGCTAGAATAGAAAGCAGAAGACTGAGCCCCAGATGTCTTAACAGTTTCAACTCTTCATTCAAGAAGGTTTTTCCTCCTAGGAATCATCAGAGGGTCAGGACCCTCTCTTGCTCATTGATTTCTCCACTTCCATTGGTTCCATAAGGAGGCTAGGAGTACAGTTGCTCTAGTATTTTTTAGGCAATGTTCTTTTGACTTCTTCTTTACCTGTGTCTTCTTTGGCCATCTGGTCATCATATTCTCATTTTATGCATGGAAAAATAGAGAAACCAGGTGACAGCAAGTTGCTGCAAGAAGGCTTTCATTGTTCTTGAAGCCATTCGTCTTATCTTTGTGCAGTTACTGTGTCTGCACTGTGCATGTTGCAAGGGGATTCAAACTTAAGGATTTCTAGGTACAAGGATATATCTGTTTCCTGGAAGTGGAATGAGCCTTTCCCATGCTTATGGCCTGATTTATAGGTGAGTTATCTTGTACAAGACCCCATCCTTATTCCTCAGGGTAGGAAGACCACACTTGCACCATTTCTGTGTGATTGGTTGTGATTGTAAGTTTCCATCTGACCAGGTGCCTTGCAGATTGCCTGCTATTTTAATGTCTTCTTCCAGATTATATTTCCCTGATACTTGCCCTGGAATGTGATTTTATTTTAGAAATGCTGTAAATGTTTATTGTTGACTCTAATAAACTCATGTGTATTTCCAGGGAAAATGTATGCATGCCAGTACTGTGATGCTGTGTTTGCCCAGTCCATTGAGCTGTCCCGTCATGTAAGGACCCACACTGGGGACAAGCCATATGTCTGCAGGGACTGTGGCAAGGGCTTCCGGCAAGCCAATGGCCTCTCCATCCACCTGCACACCTTTCACAGTACGTACTGAGATTATGCGTGTCAGGCACTCAGCACCAGGCCTGGCTGTGAGAAAGCATGGAATGGTCATTACACAGGTTGTCACTTGCCAGTGCTAGTCCACATTCAGTGCCTTCCCCTCCTCTCTTCTGCAAAACCCAGAGTCCTTTGGTCCTATTTCAAGGAGATTACCATTTAAATGTAGCATTGTATGATACTTGTTTTTCTCTGTCCAGGGTGTTTACTTGCCTTTCTTTTTAGCCACCTGGCACGATTTGGCTGACAGAGGAACACTGTGTTTGAAGAAGAGAGCCTCTGTGATAGATAAGCTCACTGAGCACTGGGACATTTCCGTTAGTCCCCTGAGATTGTATTTTCTACTCACTCTCCGCGCCCCCCCCCCCCCATCTTGTAGCCATACCTGCCTTTCTCTGTAGGAGCACCCTAGACACTTAGATTTCTAAGACAATGCTTACAATCTGAAGTAGTTCCTGGTCACTTTCCCTGCCTTCTGTCCAGTATTTTCTTCCAAAGCCATTGTATTTCAGTTAGTAAATAGGGTCAGCCCACATCTTTCTTCTCTCTTCCTGGAATTGATAGGGACAGAAACATACTTTTACTCATGATAACTAAAACTAAAACTAAACTCACTGCCATCAAGTTGATTCTGACTTGTAGCAACCCCCATTGGGTTTCTGAGGCAGTAAATCTTTGTGGAAGCAGATTGCCCCATCTTCCTTCTGTGAAGCAGCTGGTTAGCAGTCAGATGCCTTAGGCACTGCACCATCGGAGCTCTTATTCATGATAGGGACATGCATATACACACAGGAAAGAAAAGGAAATCCTGACTCCTCATTATATCATCAGGAAATCACCCCTGTGGTATTTGGATGGCCATGTCACATTTCCTTCAGCCTCCTGTATGTTGCAGCAAGAGTGTAGTCAACACAGCACAGCAGAGTGGTTAAGAGCTTGGACTCTGAAATCACACAGGCCTGGATTTGAATCTTGGCCCTGCTGTGTACTTTCCATGCAATTTAAAGCAAACGTCTTCGCCTTTGTAAACTGGAGGGAATAATAATACCTACCACTTTGGATTGTTGTGAGAACTAAATGAGCTATCACATGAAAAGCACGAAGCTCCCTGCCTGACACACAGAAGGTGCTCAGTAAAGGCAGCTATTATTAGTATTAGTGGCAAGAACAGCCCTCTCAGGTACCATGTGTCACCATCACAGCTTGTCTTTTTGCATGCCATGCACCTGCAGCCCTTTTCCTCTATAGCTATTGACAAACACAGGATGTTCCAAACATGTACCGTATGTAAACACATCAAGTCTATTGCCAGCCAGCCACCAGGGACTTTGCTAGAGTTCCGGTGTCCAGCATGTAGCTGGACACTGTGGGAAGCAGAAGGAATATAAAAAGTGTGGCCTTGCCCCACAAGGAGTTTACAAGGCTGTAAATCCAGTTGCAATGAATTTTCAGTTTAGTGAAATGGGGATTGGCTCCAGTACCACCATTTTGACATCCTGTTGACCTCTTTCAAATGGCATCTACTTTAGTCTTCTTTAGGAGCTCTGGTGGTGTAGTGCCTAAGGCATTTGACTGCTAACCAGAAGGCTGGTGGTTCGAACCCACCAGCCACCCCTCAGAAGGAATGTTGGGCAATGTACTTCTGTAATGATAACCTCCTTGAAAACCCAAGGGGAGGGGTCGCTATGATTTGGATCCGACTCCATGGCAGTGAGTTTGGTTTGGTTTATTTTTTTTACTCTTTTCCAAGTAGCATCACTTGGGAGTCAGAAAGGAAGACATTATTAATTTTCAGAATGGAGAAAGACCCAAAATACTTCACCTTGTCCTTTGCATATATCATGTGAGGCCCCAGCATCCCTCTCCTTTACCACTCTTCGCCTGTTTCATAGGCATACACCACTGCCTATAGAAAATGCCTTCAAAATGTCTTAAAAGACAACACAAAACAGATTTCAAGAGCTGGTATCCACGGGGAAACTAGGTAATAATATCGAATGTTGCTGCATGGCAGAATTCCTGAGTTAATCTGAATTGATGCACAAATAAGATTGGCTTGTGGGCTGGGTCTTTCTCATGGGCAAAGGATTTTATTATTACAACACTTAGCTTTCTGTTGCTTTAAGAAAAAAAGTGACGTTTCCTACCATAGGGGTGGCAAATACATTCTTCATCAGTGCCAGTTCTTACTTTTGAAATCCCACCTGGTAGTTGGCAGTGTCCAATTAGACATGTAGCTTAGAGACTGGCCTTTAGAGAGCTGGGATTGCTGGCCAATTCAGTCATTTCTTAGTTGTGAAGGCTCTAACTTAACTCTCTAAATCATGATTTTCCTAATCTCTAATATAGGGATGAGTGCTAATGGAACTAATCAGAGGGTTACTGGAAGAATCGAGTGAGGTGATATGTGTGAAGGACTTAGAGTAGCGCTTGTCACATAGCACTCGAGGATTGTTGATCTGAGGTGGGAGCTGGGACACATCCCTCCTGCTGTACTGCTGGCAGCAGAGGACGGAGTGATGCTCTGGGGAATTGGTAGAAGTCTCTGTAGTGAGTTAGAAAACCCAAAGTTGGCCACTGCTAGCAGGGGAAGAGCAAGGGTGATACTCTCTGGAGAGTGGTAGAATAGAATTTCATGTGTGTGGTGTAAAATGAGGAATTGACGTGCACTGTGTGATGGTGTGGAGACTGTTAGTCTGGAAGCCTCAGAGGCTGCCACACCTCCATGATGGAGGCAGGGGATGGACAGGTTAGCCCACTGCCGACTTCTGGTTCCTTGGGGTCTGTGACCCGGCACAGCATCTGAGCAGTGCCTTGATCTGTAGCTGTGCACGGTATCCAGCATCCATCTTGCTGATTGTGGTCTATGGTGTTTCCTTCTCCCCGCTTCCTTTCATGGATGTCCCGCATGGAACCAGACATAGAAGATCCCTATGACTGCAAGAAGTGCAGGATGAGTTTCCCCACCCTGCAGGACCATCGCAAGCACATCCACGAGGTGCACTCCAAGGAGTACCACCCCTGCCCCACATGTGGGAAGATCTTCAGTGCCCCTTCCATGCTGGAGCGGCACATGGTGACCCACGTTGGCGGGAAGCCCTTCAGCTGCGGAATCTGCAACAAGGCCTACCAGGTTCCATACATAATAGGTTCCATACCATAGGTTCTGGTGGGAGGTCTCTCACCAGTCCCCGATCTACTGTCCATTTGCTTGTCCTTGATTTCTGTGTTTGTGGCTTGCGGATCAGACCTTGTCTCCAGGATATGCCAGTTTGGTTTGTGATTATGAAGGAATGCAATTTGAAACTATTCGATTCTCTGAGGAAATCTGGTCAGAGGGATGCGTCAGGGAGATTTAATTGGGCCCCTGCTCCCCAGATGCCAGCCTCGTCATGCTGCTGCTTCCCTTTTTTTTAACTCCCAGAGAATGGCATGTAACTAAAAGGAAACCTCACATAGACCTAAAAAGAAACTGCATCTATCAGGCCCTCTCTAGCCACAAAGAAAATAATGGTCCTTGTTGGCATTTATAGGATGTAGATACAGAGAGAGAAGCTTGGAGGCTAATTTCAGCTCAACAAAAATGAGAAGTAACTCTGTGTGGGGCCTTGTACTACGAACACTAGGGTAACAGTAGAGAGTAAGACCTAGCTCTGGCCTCGAAGGAATGATGGAACCTTAAGGAGACTATTCCAATGGTGTTCTGAACCTGGGGGGGGCAGGGGTAACTTGCTTACAGAGTAGGGATAGCACACAACCCCTTCTTGAGCACTTTGCTCTGCTCTTCCCCTGGGCAGTGAGTTATAGCTCAGTGGTGAAGAACACAGATGCTTAAGTCGGAAGGCCAGGGTTTGAATCCTGGCCCTACCATTTACCAGTTGTGTGATGCTGGGCAAGTCATTTAACCCCTCTGTGACTCAGCTTCCCCCTCACTGGAAGAATCATAGCATCTCCCTCATGCGGCTGCTGTGAGGAGTGAGTTTATGATGGACTCAGCAGAACCCTGCACTCTAGCAGCCTCTTAATACCCAGTTGTCTTGTTCCCACAAACACCAGTCTCTCTTTGAACATTGCCACTCAGTTTGATAAGTAAGAGGTATGATTCTAGACCCATAAGCTTACCTAAGAATATTTTCTACCCTCTCATGAGGGACTCCTAAGCCTCTCCAGCTTGCTAGAACGTTCTAAGACTCTAACCTCTGCCAATCTCCTTGCAGCAATTGTCTGGTTTGTGGTACCATAATCGGACCCACCACCCTGATGTGTTTGCTGCTCAGAACCATCGATCTTCTAAGTTCTCGTCACTCCAGTGCAGCTCCTGTGACAAAACCTTTCCCAACACCATTGAACACAAGAAACATATCAAAGCAGAGCACGCAGGTGACGTTTGGGTGCCATAGACAGGAGGTGTGTGTTGATGCATGGGAATGGCTTGATTATAATGGCATCTGTGGTAGTTAAGGTTGTGTGTCAGCCTGGCTGGGCCTGGTTTTGAGTGGCTGGGCAGCTGGATGTAGTTATTTCCCCGATGAGACTGGTGATCATCACCATGGTGGAATCTGCTGGGTGCAGCTGAGTAGCTTCTTTTGGGATGTG